TGGCAGATTTTGGTGAGACCGCAATAGGAAGGGTGGCTCCTGTCGATTCCGGTTTCTGGTGGATCTTTTTGCTCAGAGCCTACACGAAATCCACAGGCGACACGTCCCTGGCTGACATGCCGGATTGCCAGAAGGGAATGCGCCTCATTCTCAGCCTCTGCCTCTCTGAGGGCTTCGACACCTTTCCCACCCTTCTCTGTGCTGATGGATGCTCCATGATTGATCGCAGGATGGTCCGCGCTCTTTACTCTTCTTCTTGTTGTTTTTTTCCATTTTCTTGAATTTTTCTCATGTGCTGAATGTGTGTTTTTGTGTGTTGGGGTTCAGGGAGTGTATGGATACCCAATAGAGATTCAAGCACTGTTCTTCATGGCTTTAAGATGTGCCCTTCTGTTGCTGAAACAAGATGCAGAAGGGAAGGAGTTCATGGAAAGAATAGAGAAGAGGCTCCATGCTTTGAGCTACCACATGAGGAGCTACTTCTGGCTTGACCTCAAGCAGCTCAACGACATATACCGGTACAAGACGGAGGAGTACTCCCACACCGCCGTCAACAAGTTCAACGTCATCCCGGACTCCCTCCCGGAGTGGATCTTCGACTTCATGCCCACCCACGGCGGCTACTTCATCGGCAACGTGGGCCCCTCCAACATGGACTTTCGCTGGTTCTGCCTGGGGAACTGCATCGCCATCCTCTCCTCCCTCGCGACGCCCGACCAGGAGTCGAAGATCATGGACCTGATCGAGTCGCGCTGGCACGAGCTGGTAGGGGAGATGCCCATGAAGGTCTGCTACCCTGCGATCGAAGGGCACGAGTGGCGCATCGTGACTGGGTGCGACCCCAAGAACACCAGGTGGAGCTACCACAACGGTGGGTCTTGGCCGGTGCTGCTCTGGCTGCTGACTGCAGCTTGCATCAAGACAGGGAGGCCTCAGGTGGCGAGACGGGCGGTGGAGCTGGCGGAGGCGAAGCTGCCGAAAGACGGGTGGCCGGAGTACTACGACGGGAAGCAGGGGAGGTTCGTGGGGAAGCAGGCGCGCAAGCACCAGACATGGTCCATTGCAGGGTACCTGGTGGCAAAGATGATGCTGGAAGACCCCACACATTTGGGGATGGTGGCCATGGAAGAAGAGAAGCAGTCCAAACCAGTGCTCAGGAGATCCTCTTCCTTCTGATGGGTTTAGCTTTCGCCCATCATTGCTAGACTCCCCTCTCCCCATGTTTAATTCTCTGGGGATCAATTCATATCATTGTTTCACAGTAACATTTGTTTGACATTTTTTTGTTGTTGTTGTGGTTGATGCTCACTCTGAATATGGATATGGATGCTTTGTTTCTTCATCTGTTTACAGAAGAAAAAAAAAATGTGATTATTTTGAAATCTTAAGCCTCATTTCTTTATTCTCGTGCCTAATTCTGATTGTTATCCACTTTAGTGTTTTGAAATGATTATATAAGGAAGAATTTTAAAAATAATTTGTACCATTAAAGAAATATTCAAAAATAATGTTAGTTAAAAAAAGTATTCCAACCAAATGCCATAGGTTCTCGATTGATTAGTAGTGTAACAAACTGATCTTCTACCAATAACTAATAAAGCGTTAATATTGAGCCATTCTTTTCCAGGGATCTAAATTGTGACCTTAGTTTATTTGGGATTTTTTTATTGAGGGGATTGAAAATCCGTCTTAGAGAAGAAGAGCCAGCCTACTAGTGCGGCGGAACAGAGGAAATCAGGTGGAGGATGAAGGGTGGTCGGAGGCCGATCTACGCGGCAATAACATGGCTGAGCCGGCAACCGCCGAAGGTGAAAGCATTTCTGGCCGTGATAGCGGGGATGGCCACGCTGGCGATGCTCCGAGCCGTCATCCACGACCACGACAATCTCTTCGTCGCTGCCGAGGCTGTTCACTCCCTCGGGATTTCCGTTCTCATCTACAAGCTCACCAAAGAAAAAACCTGCGACGGTAAACACACACACAAACAAAAAAAAATATCCCTTTATTCATTCTCCCCTGAAAAAAAGAAAGAAAGAAAAAACTCTGGGTTATAAATCCAACCTTATGATGATGATTATATTGCTGCAGGGCTTTCACTAAAATCCCAGGAACTCACAGCCATGTTCTTGGCTGTTAGACTATACTGCAGTTTTGTAATGGAATACGATATACACACAGTTCTTGATCTGGCTACACTCGCTACGACTCTGTGGGTTATTTACATGATTCGTTTTAATCTAAGATCAATTGAAATGGAGCACAGAGACAGTTTTCCTATATATTTTGTGGTCAGCCCTTTATGCCACTTTATAATAATAATAACTACAACTCATTTTGGAAAGAAAACAATTTCCGAATAGCATTACATGTTTCTTTAATCTTGCAGGTTCTCCCTTGTGCAATTTTAGCTTTGCTCATTCACCCAACTACATCCCATCACATTGTGAACAGAATCCTATGGGCTTTCTGCGTGTTCTTGGAAGCCGTTTCTGTCCTTCCCCAACTGCACGTGATGCAAAACACTAAGGTAGCATTTTTTCAAACATCAATACAGTAAATTTATGGAGCACGGCTTCATGATCATCATCATCGTCATCATCTTTATTACTACTATTTTGTTTGCAGATCATCGAACCATTCACAGCTCATTATGTATTTGCATTGGGTGTTGCAAGGTTCTTAAGCTGTGCTCACTGGGTTCTACAGGTTTGGCTTTTCAAGTGTTTTAGATTTTGTGGATACTATATATCCGTCTATCTTGAGATGCAATAATAACCTCTTTTTATTATTAACAACTGTGTGCTAACAGGTTTTGGATAGTCGCGGACATCTCCTTGTGGCTCTAGGTCATGGCTTATGGCCTTCTATGGTTCTTATATCCGAAATAGTTCAAACTTTCATCTTAGCAGACTTTTGTTACTACTATATGAAAAGGTCAGACAGTCAATCTCTACTTGTTCTTTGAGATATATTTCTAACTTTCTATTCCTTTTTTCTAGAATAATAACGATATGCCAATGTACTCCCAAACAAATGATATGCCGATTCTGTTTTGTCTTGTGCAGTGTTTTTGGAGGGCAGCTCGTGCTGCGCCTTCCTACTGGAGCTGTGTAAGAAAACACGATGATAAAACATATCTCAACCCTCTGTTGATGGAAGTTTTTCCAGTCCCCATCTCTTATTCTTGCCCCTTTTGGTAGTTTTAATTCCCTATAGTGCTTAAAAGTAAATCCATTAATTTTTTTGTTTTGTTTTGTTACAGAAGGAACTCTAGTGTCATCTCTTTAAAAAGAATATATTAATTATTTTATTGTTCATATGATAATCACTTGAGCATTCAGCAAGGAACAGTTGAAATAGAAAAACTCATTGATAAGCTCCATGCTTTCTTGATAAGCTCTTAGGTTAACTTTCAGGCAGTGAGTTTCCTAGTAAGGATGCCCTCAAAAGTGATTCCAGGACCAAAAGCCAGTATCAACCCCCAATCAGCTTCTTCTTCTTCTTCTGGTTGATTTTTCTTGTTCTTCTCCTCCAACATGTACTCCAGAACATACACAATAGTGTTACTGCTAGCATTCCCATAATCAGCCAAAGCTCGCCGGCTCGCACTGAGCTTCTCTGGCAAAAGTTCAAACTTCTTCTCAAGCCTGTTAAGGATCGCGGGCCCACCAGGATGAACTGCCCAAAACAGCTTGTTGTAGTCCTCCGGAGTGTACCCTGCGACCCCGATCAGCTTCTCACAGAACTCCCCAATGTTATCTTCTATTATCTGGGGAAGCTCCCTTTCCAGCTTAAAGCTTATGCCTTCTTCAGTAAGCCTTCCATCAATGATCTTTTCTGTGTTTGGGACAAAGTGCTGTATAGCTGTGTGAAGTTCAAAGAGAGGCCTTTCTGTTTCTTGAACCGGGTCTGACCCGATAATCATGGCTCCAGCCCCATCACCAAAAAGAGCCACCCCTACCAAGTCATAAGGGCGGTCTAGGCTCGGGGGTTTGAACCCAATAATGGTTGTTTCTGACGTGGCAAGTAGGACTCTGCTGCCCGGATTGTTCTCTGCAATGTCCTTCGCAACACGAAGGCCGGCGACCCCACCGGAGCAGCCCGAGAAGTAGAGCATGACCCGTTGGGTGTCCGGGCACAGCCCGAGGCCTTTCGCCAGGTAAAGGTCGCCTCCGGGCAGCCGGGCTTCACTTGATGAAACATAAACCAGGTGGGTGATCTCTGACGTGGACCTGCCCCATTTCTCGATGCAAGTCCGCGAGGCTTCTAATGCCATTTGGGTAACAGCTGAGTTGCAGATGTCCAAGCGCTGCTTCACCGTGGGAAGTCCTTCAATGGCGAGCTCGGGATACTTGTTTAGGATCTCTTCAGACATGACCACATATCTCGTTTTCACTGTCGTTGTCTTGCCTGCACAACATGTATAACAGTAGTAAGACCCCAAGCAAAATAACATTTACCAAAAGGGCACTAAAAATAAAGAACACTAACAGAGTCGAGTGAGCTTCTGCCTGAGGGCTGGATCATCACAGTTGGTGTTCTTGAAATACCCATCAACCAGAAATTCTTGCATTACAAGCTGGTGAGGGAAGGCCTTGCCTATAGCCATGATTGAGGCTTTTCCAGTGTTGGCCTTCTTGACTCCTCCCTGCATAATTGCCTCTCCAAACCCCATGGCTGCTCTCAATTACAGAACTTCCCAAACAAGTTTGATGAATCTATGTGTATATATACTCCTGCCTGAATGGGGAAGACCCAAACATCTGCTATTTATACACTCGGCACAACAATACTTTCAATAAAATATGATTGATGGAAGTATTATTAATTTAATAATCACATGGTTTGTAGATGGATTTCGTGACAATACAATTATTTATGGATTTAAAAGGGATTAGTTGAAGAGTAAGAAGCTCATGAACTTCAACAGAGAAAAGAGTTTGGTATTTTGCAAGACTGGTAGGGCTCTTGCAGTTCAAACAATATTTTTCAAGCTCATTTCTCTTTTAAAGCATTTATCACCCCTTTAGAAAAGAGCAACTACAATAAACTTGGTAAAATCCAACAAAAAGTAGGGTTCAAGGAGGGTATGTTAAGTGTTTACAGAGACTTTAACCGTACTAGGTGGTAGGGAAGATGTTCCAAATCACCAAAAGAAAAACAGAAGAAAAAGTACATCATGTAATCTATCTACACACCGTTGGTTTAATCAAATTTTATTAGTAAGTTCAGTAACAGCATGTGGGAAGCACAAGAAATTCGAATAAATCAGATGAAGAACTCAACGAGCTTGGACCAAATCAAAGATCCGAGAGAGATTTGCCACTAATGAAATCAACAACTCTTGTGGCAGCTTCATCAAGTGCAGCAGTTACTGCTAACAAATTTTGCAAAAACTCCTCAGCTGTTGGTTTATCACCGTCCACTATATCAGTCACAGCTTTCAACAGAATTGCAGGCACCTTCAAAAGATCTGATACATATGCGACTGCTGCTCCCTACAAAGAATATAATATAATTGCATCTTTTAAATATAGTTCCTCTCATTTTATGAAAGATCATTTTATGAGAAACTCTCAAATTTTGTTCGCTACTTCGTACTGTGCAAGTGCTTCACTTCATGTAACAGAAAGAGATGCAAAAAAAGAAAAAAAAAAAAGAATGGCTCCAGTACCAAAATGGCAATTTACAAGGGTCATAGAGTCACACACTCATGACTAAATGCCACCGACAGCCAAGTGAAAAATGGAACGACAAAAACACACCTCCATGTCTTTAAGAGTTGCTTCATTAGCAGTTATAGAGGTTTCATCAGTTGGTGACATATCCAGGGAATCACCAGTAGACAGTTTCCCAACCTGAAACACACCCACAAGTATTATTGAACTGACCCTTAAGAAAATCAGCATCAAAGTTCCAGAAATATAGGTGAGGAAAACCCACCTTCATGTTAAGTTCTTTCAGGAGATTAGGAGTGGGGCAAGCCTGCCGCAAGCCAACTCCATATAAATCAAATACCTATAGAAATCATGAAAAGGGGCAGATTAGAATTCCATAACCAAGCTATTGTTGATAACAGAAAATGGTGCTTGGTCATTGAACTGACTAAGATGTCACCAGTGTGGCTTCAAATGAAAAAAGAATGGATTAAGGTTCCTGCCTATAGAACACTATAACTTACTCTGTATATAAGTATACTCTCATCACTGAGAAAATCATTGATAATTCTGTTGAAATTGTTTTTTATTTTTAGCCATCTTGTTATTGAAAGAGTTAGATTTTGTATAGGCATTGGATTGGACTTTTGCACAGTGCAAAGAGAGCAAAACTGTGGGGTTTGGGCTAAGAAAACCTTGAGCAAGGGGCACATACTGTACAGAGTGTTAACCAATTGCCGAAACCCAATGGAGTGGGGGTGACTTACCGGGATAGGTATTCTTCTATCATGGAAAGCAGCATGTGAGACAAGAAATACATCTCCTATGGAAGCACCTTTTGCCTGTAAATGTCTAAAAATCAACACCAAACTACGTTCAACAGAAGATGTTCTAGGCACAAGCAATACGGAGCCAGAAAACATAACTCCAATACAAGTTCATCGTCAATCTAGAACATATACCTTAAACCCACCCGCGGTTCCAGCATTTATGATGAGGTCAGGTTTTAATGCTTGGATGGAAGCATATGTTATAAGAGATGCAGAAACAGTCCCTACGCAGTCAACCCCTGAAAAAGGATTTCGCCGCATGTAATCAAAAGGGCAAAACTGAAGCGAAGTGTAAAACAATTGTAGCACACTACATACCCAAAGCTGAGTCTTTTCCAGGGCAGACAATATTAATGTTCAGATCCTTATAGTTACCATAATACCTCACCCAAGGCACTCCCTTTGGGAAACTGCTTAAAGTTCAAACAAGAAACCAGACTTAGGGAAAACCACATGGAAATCACCATCAATTAACCACTTCAGCATAGGTAATGGTCTGATTGTCAGTGGCACAGAGCACAGAGAACTGACAAAACCCTAAAATTAAATTTTGTGGAATGAAAATGACTGCAGATTACTCAGCAAATAAAGTAGGAGGAGGAGGAAGAAGACTGACGGCGGATCAACATCCTCTGCTAGCTGGAACTTAGTGACGAGAGGTTGCGCCTCCGTTTGCATAGCTACAGAAAGGATCAAATTCCCGGCAATCAATCGCCAAAGTGAGTAAGAGAGTATGTAAACGGATAAGGAAGGGACTAGGAATACCGATGACGAAGACGATGGTGGAGATTGGACGGTTATCGACCGGAGAGGAGGCGTAGACCGACGAGGATTCATTGTTGACTCGTTCCGGTTGATCCTCCGGGGGAGCCATTGTGCTCTTTGCCTCTGAGCGGATCGCTCTTCTTCTTCCCGGTCCTGCGGCGGCTGCTGCTGCTGCTTTGATTGGTGACTTTCTACTCTCGACGCCGGTGGGGACTAGAAAGAGTGTCAAATTAGGACTGGTTATTCAACTCCAACTTTACCCAATCACATTCAACCAGATCGGAGGAACAAGACAAATCTAATAAATCCCACTGAAAAAACTCAATAAAGTCTCTCCCGGGTGCTCCCCTTATTGGGCTTTGGCCACATTTTTTTGTGTCATTTCATAAAGAACGCCCATCCCACGCCCCATACCCAGCCCAATCACAATTTGGTTTTTAGAGAAGTCATTTGTGCTCGGTGTGCACAAAAAGCTATTACAAATAATAGAACTCTCGCAATGTCACTTCTTCTAAGATTCGACTTTAAAATCAATGAGCTTGACATCCTCTCTTTGGACCAATTGAGCTACTCATGTGTGTCATTTTGTATCTTTTCATGATAAATGTTGTACAATAAAAAATCTTCAATTTCACAGTCTTGAAATTTCTACACTATATTTGGTTCAAGAAATTTAAAATGAAAAAGAAAAAAAATGAGATGGAAAATAGTTTTTCTTGTTTGTATAGAGAGAAAAAAAAGAAAAGTGGAAGGAAAAGGAAATGAGAAGATAAAATATATTAAGAGGAGGAAAAATTAAATTCCTTCCATTTTGGTGGGGAAATTGAGATAAAACCATTTTCTTTTTTTCATTCAAATTTCTTCAACCAAAACATAGTGTTAGTATTGAAAATTGCGAATAAATTAGTTATGCTCTTAGATTATAAACTTCAAAAATCTAAACAATATACTATAAACGAATAAATACAAAACTACAATCAATATATGCTGGTTTATATAATTATTTTAACCCCAAAAATATGTAGAACAACATACAAAATACTCTATATAAGAGTGCAGAAATTAAGATGAAAAAATAAAGAATAAGACTATAATAATAAGAAGAGCTAACTAATTACTTCTAGATCCCCATCCAAAAACTATTCTAAAGTGAATCTGGACGTGTATATGGAGGAAGAAGAGGAGGTAGTGGGGACGACGAGGATGAGCTGAGAGATGAGAAGAAGGAAAGCGTCCTCATTGCAAGGTACGGTGAGGCCGCCCGCAGGATGGTCGAACCCAAACTCCTCCTCGGCCTCGCGCAACAGCGTCTGGAAACGAGGATGGTTAAGGTAATAAGACAGCGGGACCACGTATCTCTTCTTCTTCTTCTTCTCCTTCTCCGAAGAAGACCCCACGTAAACTGCGAAATGACCTTTCGGGACATCCCCACACCAACATTCTTCATCTCCATATCATCTCTGTTACCCCCGAGCCTCTTAAATCTCATTGCCGCATTAGCCATCATCGTCACCCTCGAAAACAGTCCAATGATCGATAAGTTAATTAACAACTAACTACTGTTGTTTATTTTGTACTGTACTACTCCGTATAGTGTATATATATAATCGTTAGTTGTTTCTTTGAGTGTGTGTATGCATGTATATATATACGGGAGTACGTATATGTGGATACGCGTCGTCGCATATACGGATTCGGAGGTAATAATACATACATACGGAGTACTAAGTACTGTGGGGTCGGCGCGGATGGCTAGCTAGCTGGTGAACATGAATACGAAATATGGGTCGTCGTCGGGTCGGAGTTGAAAGGGCCCGAGGCTACTTATTACTTATTATGGGTCGGACACCTCCTCGCCGTGGTTCAGACGCGTTATTTTAGTCAAACCGCCGCACCGCGGCGGCGGAGAAGACCGGCAGTCCGTACGAAGGATCCTGTTTCACCGACACTTTGGAAGACTTATATCTGTCAAGGGATTAGTGCAAATATTTCTTATTTATTATTTAAACTCCCCTTTTTTTTCAAAACGGTGGTACCATTTTCAATCGTACACAAAGGTTGATTTTTTTTTTTTTAATTTTAAATAGTATGACATTGAAACTCCATCACAAAAGATCTTTGTGTTTCATTTTCAAGTCTAAACAAAGGGGTTGATTTTTTTTAGTATGACATTGAAAACTGCATGGCATAAGATCATTATCATATATGCCAAGACATGACTTGACATAAAACCATAAAAAATTTTGGGGTAAGTAATAAGTCTCAAGTTCACATTATCTAGAACATATTCTAAAATGTCTTCGATTTTCTTGTAAGAATTACCATATCCACATTTTTTGAATTAAAATATATTTTAGGGTCTTTAAAATTCATGACATTTTACTCCGAGGATATGTACATTCTATCAACTAAAACATAAGTCATTTCCTAATGTAGGACTTAAACTTTTTTAATTATTCTCTAAATAGGACTTATTAATGACAACTGAGAACAATAATGTTCAAGTGATGCTAGACATTTAGTTGAATAATGACTAATAGATAATGACCAATGATCCTACATTAGAAAATAAAAACACATGGTCCTATATTGAGGAAGTCATTTTGTTTTAGTTCTATTTAGGTAAATTACCCTATAATTAAATTAGAGTATATTAATAACCTAAAATATATAAAATCATTGACAATAGCTAATCATTGATACATTTAAATATTTTCTTTGAAATATAAAATTTCTTTTCAATATAACTACTTTTTTTAATCTCTGTGAAAATTGAATAATCAATTTTTCTTTATATAGTGAGCAAGTGTAATATTACTCGATATTAAAATAACCAAATATTAGAAAATATGGATGTTATTAATTCTACAAAATTATTACATTCTTTTTGCATATTACGGAGTACATAATAATATATTACATGTTGCAAATTGCACATCACATAAAATCTTAAACGCTAATATTTCTTTCACATCTACAAATTTTGTCATAATTTCACCCTTTTGTATATTACAACATTTATAACTTAAAAAATGGGTCTTTTTAAATATAAAAGTATTTATAACTTTAAAAACTAAGTTCTGTATGGTACTTATATAAAAGTATTTGAATTTTTGGGACGAAGGGAGTAATTTGTATTGATTTAGACAAGTTTTTTATTTTTAAATACTTGGGTATGGGAAATCATACAATTGTACTACCTGTTTCCTGTAGTTTTTATGAACCAGTTAAGATTTTTGTAGTAAAAAATCGCATATTTAATTTGACCTTAAATAAAATAAATTTTATATAGGATATTGATACAAAAATGATTTTATTATATTTATCTTGTAAAATATTTTCAAAATATTTTTATATAATATTGAGTATATGCTACTTTGGTCCGGAAATGAATTTCCATACATTTACATACTACGGAGTATTTCGGAAGTCAAACTTCAATTATTTTTATTCTTGCTTGAATTTTACATTTACTATCAAATAAATTATGTTAAATTAAAAACGGATCCGGTTAGCCATTGCAATCTGGAATGGGTATTTCAAATCCGGATAGAGAAAGTTTTTTTTACTCATTTAAGCATAGATCTCACAGTTTGATTCTAGTTGACAACAAAAAATTAAAACTAAACGAACATTTTAGATGAAGAGAGTAATGCTTGTTAGCATTAGAAGCATGGAATCTAGTTTCGCGTCTTCATCAATGATTTAATTTGCGATGAAAATTGCGACGGATAACAATTCTGTCATAAACGATAAAATGCATATTTGTCGCATGTCTTTCACAAATTCATTACAGATTTACGACGTAGGAGAAATATCGTCACAGATGGATAGGTACTATGGCTCCAATCTAATTGTAAATTATGCATGTCTTTTATTGAAAATTCTATAAAAACAAGTAATAATAATACACACTGATTCTTTTGACTATAATTTTCTAGGTCAAATTGTGATATGCTATCTCTACAAAATTTCATTAATAAAATACGGAGTAGATGATTTCTATCCTAACTTTCTAAACGAAGCCCCTTCCCCCTACTTTCGTGGAGTTGGGAGAGTGATGGAGTTGGCGTCCACATACATATAATGGGGTTTACGTGGTGCGCGTCGTATTTGCACTCCACCGTCGTATTGTCTAGTCGGATCCCTCTATGAATATATTTTCCCCTCTCATTTTATCCTACAAGTAGTTTTATAAAATGTTAAAAAGCACTTTGTGTGTTTGGAAAAACACTTCTTAAATTGATCAAAAATCAAAATAAGAAATGATTCCATTGTAGTTAAATTTATCATTTTTTTGATGTGATGAATAAAAATAAGATGTAATAAATAAATTATTAGTGAAAAAGTATGATGTAATAGATACAGTAAGAAGAAATAGGAGTAACAGTAGTTTTTTTAATAAAAAAATAAAAACGTTTTCATGGAAGATAAAAAATAAAAAAGAAAGTGCTTTGGTGAACGAAAAAAAGTAGAATATAATTTATAAAGTTTTCTTTTAAAACAGCGCAAACGAACTATTTTATATACAAACACACACATCACTGTTACTGGTGTCATTTGCTTCCGCCAGTTATTTTGGAGTCCTACATGAAAGATTTAATAATTTCCAATAATAATAGTGTGTATAATACAAGAGATATATACTAGGAGATTCCTAGTTATGTTAGGAAACATATAATTAAGGTAACCTATACACATGGTAACTAGAATATACAATAATAACTACACAATATATTAAATATAGAAACACTATATTTAACATGCTCCCAACGGCACTGGTAACGACTTCCGGATTCCCAGGCTGTCACGGAACTCTGTGAAGATCATGGTTGGGAGCCCCTTTGTAAAAATGTCTGCATACTGCAACGAGGAAGGAACATGGAGAACTCGTATGTGTCCGAGAGCCACCTTATCTCGGACAAAGTGTATATCAACCTCAATGTGTTTAGTGCGCTGGTGTTTGACAGGATTGGCAGAAAGGTAGACGGCACT